AGGGATGGGGCATGTACTGTGCACAAGTGGGGTGCACTAAAGCAAGGCAAGGCAATGTCGGTGCATCACGCCAGGTATGCACACCGGCGTGGCTGATGCGATCAGAGCAAAGAGAGAAGGATGGCCGATGGACGGATGGGTGGGGGACGTACAATAAGGAGGTGGTGGCTCGTGCTGCCTCACCTGCCTCACTCTGTTGCTCCCGTTATGCGGGCCGTGGGCTGTAGCCGTCGATGGTCTGTGGTTGCAGTGACGACAACGCGATGGCCACTCAGGCGTGGCGCAACGCGGCGCACGGTAGTGAATCCGGCCCATCCCTATCGTCCTTGTTTCTAGGATATCAGAGTGGCACAGCTGAGGCATGATGATGGAGGTCGAATGAACAGTTGGTTTGTCATGCTGAATGCGATCCACTTGAGTCGCGTCAAGTGGATTGAGATTACATGGTACACGTCCAGACAACAAGCACCGCGATGGGCTTCAGCGCACTACCGACGATACAATGGGCGGACACTGAGACGCAAGGATTGCTGGGGCGAGAGGGACGATTGGGCACGAAATAGCAAGACAGCGCGGCCGCGGGCAAGGCCGTAGTAGCCACATTCGTCGCCCCGCCGACCCCTCCAACAAGTGACCCCCCCCCCCTCCTCCTGCTTCTGGACGGCCCCTCCTGCTGGCCATGCACCCTTCCTCCCCCTTCTCCCTCAGCCTTCCCCCCCTCCTTCTTCCGTCACGTTTTCCGGACTCTTCCTGCATCCCGTTCGTTCTCATCAGACTTTACGTGACGGGACGGGACGGGACTGGACTGTGCGCTACCACCTTCTATCGTGACGCGACGGTGGAAATTAACACTGGGTACGAGCAACGCAGATAGTGGAGAACGGGTCTTCTCCTTTTATTCCCACAGACCAGTCATGGCAGGGATGCTCTCTCCCCAGTTCCAACTTCCTTTGGGCCACCCGGGGAACAGCCCGACTGGTACCGCGGCCTCTATTGACCCCACCTGTTACGAGAGTGGCTCCGTTCTGCAATGCTGAGAGGGGCATCGGTGGACGGAAGCTCCAGAAAGAGCTCTTCCAAAGCAGCCCCGTTCATCCCCAAGCAGCTCCAACAGCTCCAGAAGCTCCATCTCTACTGCGTGCCTACCGCGTGTCCGGTAATGTGCGTTGCGCCTGCATCTGGGGGGGAGGGCTCCAGCTGCCAGCCAGCCCGGGGGGCCCAGGGGGCTGGCTCACCTCACCGACTTGGGAAAGGTAGGTCAAGTCCCGCGATGGAGCGCTAGTCCTGTACGTTTTGTACAGCAAAGCAAGTTGAATGAGTGCCGATGTGTCTAGGAGGCCCCATCACCTCGAGAAAAGCACTGTGACGGTGACAGGGAGCAAAGGGAACGTCAGGAGCGACGGCAGCGACAGGAACGACATGTTCGATCGGAGAGGAGCAAACTGAACCCAAGAGTGGAGGAAACCTTGCTATCCAACACATTTGGACCTGTCAGTGGCCGAGGCAACACCGTCAAACGGATACGTTTCCCTTGGGACTCACCTGTCAGTCAAGTCAAGCCCGTGCCAGCCCTCGCCTGGAAGAAAATTTTTCTGATTCTCTTTTTCCCCCTTCCACTTTGCTTCTGTTTGGAACCGGCCCCTTTCCTTCCTCTACTTTCCGAACCCCCTGTGCACGTACCCTTCAATACACGAGTACTGACACTCGAATGTGTGGGTTTTTTTTTCTGGTACTGGGTGGGAGGTGTGGCTCGGGAGCTCGGAGGGGTTATAAGGGGAGAAGGGGGGCAATCAAAACCATCAACATTGAGTCGGTACCTGGCAGACTGTCCACGGCAGCTAGCTGCTTGTCGGAATTCGTTCCTTATTCCAGGCGAGATTAGCTGTCCCATGTCTCCCGAACGCCCAGGTGGAGGTGAATTTGTGCGGACTCAGTCTTCTTCGGACTGACAATGAGGTGACTCCACCACTGAGCACGACGCTACCGGGCCTGCTATGCTAGCAGGCATGTAGCTGCTAGCGCAGAGGTACCTGAATAGACCACGAGCCGAAGACCGGCACTGTGTGGGGTCTCCCCACCCCTCGCAAGGTGCACACGGCACACACGACACTGGGAACTGGGTACGCAGTGCTGGGCGCTGGCAACGGATCGCGCCTTCCTGCTATTCTCTCGCGCGCTGACACGATCATGCTTCCCCCTCCCCGCCTGGTGTCGCTGGTGCGCTGGAGTGCTGGCTGGCCGTGCTCTGATGGCCGCCCCTCCCTCCACTTTCCAGTGTCCCGCCTCTGCCCCCCCTTCCCCCTCCCCCCTTTGGTCACCTCAAAATCCCACCAGCAACGTCCCAAAAGTAATCTATCTCCCCCCCCCCGCCTTCTTTCCGTCCTTGACACTTCTCTCCTGTCACATCCATCTTCCCACATCCATCCTCAACGAGCCATCCCCCGCCGCGCAGCTGTCGATCAGAACAGTTGCATGCTCCCATCAAAGAAACCACATACCAAGGAACATCCCATGAGAATATCGAACCAAATGATCTCCCACATCGCTCAGACCCAAGCCACGCTTTAATCGCCCACGGCGTCGTGCGAGGGAGCGCCAGACGACTTCAACATCGCTCCTTCATCGAGTCCGCTCAACTGTGCTTTTGGAAGCCACTGTCCAGTCTTTGTCAACCGTCGACGTTCACTCTCCTTTTCTCGATCGCATTCATCGTCGAGCGCCAAAGAATCACTACGGAAAAGAAGCCCACCAGCCACCCTTTCCGAAATGCCTGCCAGTGTCGCTGTTCTGCCACCGGCAGTCCCCGCAGCACCGGCATCTCGAAAGACTTCGCTTGCGCCGGAACGCAAGTACAAATGCCAGGTATGTTTAATTTGTCGAATCCCATGGAAGGCGTGACCTCTCCATACTGACACGCTGCACAGTTTTGCGCTCGGCGCTTTTCAGTCGATCTGAGCACCGGAAGCCGCCATGAACGATCTCGTGAGTTGCCTCCGACCCCCGTCTACTTTTGAGTCGAGCCCTCTCCCCTCCACATGGCCACGCAGACCATCGATCGCTGGCCTTTTCTCGTACACTCCCCTTGTATATGTGTGAAAATGGTATGACTGACTCGTTCGTGCCACAGATACCAAAGAACGCCCCTTCAAGTGCATGAAGTGCCGCAGTACCTTTCGTCAGGCGTGACCTTTCTTCTTTCGACACGACCGAACCGGTGCATGCTCGCGATGCGTCAGGACCTCCACTTCACAGTGACTCGAAGCGCAGGAAGCCGCGTGGTGGCCCGGCCAAGTCCCCGATAGCCATTGATACGTCCGCTCTTGAACAAATCGAAGCCACTAGCGATGGTATTTTCGATGTTGAGACAGCTGCCATGCTGGTGGCCGACCTTCACCACAAGGCCACGGCTGCCATGCGCAACGGAAGCTATGATGGAAACTCGCCAACGCCGTATTCCCCTCGCGGATCCGCCCTGCTGGAGCCCTCAGTGACATACCCCTCCGGCGCGATAGCGTTGCCTCAGTGGGACTCTTTCATGCCCCAGTCCGCCGCCGAGTCCAAAGCCCACTCCATCACGTCTTCCACGTCAGGCTCTTTCGAGTCTCAACAGTCGTTCACCACGTCGAGCACAATGCAGCCCCACATCAACCAGTTGCCTCCACTCAACGGTCAGACCTGTAATGGTTTGGTGCCGGCGCTGCAGTCCATGATCAGCTCGTTGCCCAATTCGACTGTGGGTACGCCCGTGACGCACAGCTCGCACATGATGCACGAAAACGCTGCGTTCCAGACCCCGCAAGTCGCCAACGACGATGCCCGCAATCTGATTCTCGACAACATTAGGGCCATGGATTCGGAGCACGCCATTCCTGACGGCTTCCGCCTTCCCAGCTTGGCGTCGCTGAACCGGTATCTGTCGACGTACTTCGGCCTCTTCCACCACCACCTGCCTTTCCTTCACCCGGCCTCTTTCGACCCCACTTGTGTGTCTCCGGCGCTGCTTCTTGCTGTTCTGAGCATTGGCGCCCTGTACGCCTTCGATCAAGACCAGGCCTACATGCTACATATTGGCTCCAAGGTCCTCGTCAGTCAGTTCCTCCAGAACAAGGAAAATTTCAGCTCGAGGAAGTGCCCTCTCTGGACCATGCAGGGCTCATTGGTCAACATGATCTTTGCCAGCTGGAGTGGCGATCCCAAGGGCTTGGAGTGGGCTTGCTCGATCAAAAGTCTGCTTGCCAATATGGTGGCCGGAAACCGGTACGAACTGAAGCTTCGGCAGGAGGCCCGTGGAGACGCCCAGCCCAGTCGTGCCGAATGGGTTGAAGACGAAGGCTGCCGTCGTACATACTACGCTGTCTACATCTTCTTCGGTCTGCTGACTCTCTCCTACAACCATACTCCCGCCATAAGCTTCAACGAGTTCGAGGATCTCCACTTGCCTTCCTCAGAGGGCCTCTGGAACCTCAAGGTAGCAGACGATGCCACGTGGGCCGAGCAAATGAAGAGTTTGCCTGTTGTGACTTTCATGGAGGCGCATGACAATCTGTTCCAGGGAGAGACACTCAGGTACAGCGCGTTTGCAAGCCGTGTCATGATCAACGCGCTCTTTCTCGAAGTTTGGTACCACAAGCGTAGCCCGGAGGCTTTGCAGGACGTGGTGACAGAATACAAGCTGCGCCTCGCTCTGGAGACGTGGGAGAAGTCCCTCGAACTCTGTGAGCCGGAGACGTCGGCTGTACCCCTCAGCGCCCCTCACAAGGGACACCCTCTCATCTTCAATGCGAAGGCGCTGTATCGCAATGCACGAGCTCGTCTCGAGGTGGACCTCAAGGCCGTGCAGGAAGCCCTTCGCTACCACGATTCGTACGAAGTTGCGGCTGCCATGTCAAACGCTCGTGATCGTGTGAAGAGATCAAGTGAAATGATCAAGGTCATCCAGGAGTGTTACAACTGTATTGAGATTGCTGTGGTGCAGGGTGTGCGGTGGGTCGCGCGGACATCGCCCACCAACTGGAGTGTTGAGCATGCGCTCTGTGGTCTTGATCTCATAATCATTCTCTCTCTGTGGCTTTATCGTCTGGAACATGACGAGGAACCTGCCACGGAGGAGGAATTGGCCATGTACAACAAGGTTAGACTCCTCTTCGACAAGGACCTCGATGAGGCCTACGCCACACAGCTCAGTTCTGTCGTGGCCAGGCTTTGGGGCTCCATGCTCGACGAGGTGGTCGTATGGGGGTAAGTTGTATTGACTGTCTTCTGATGACCCGTTGGCTAACGCATTCTACCAGAATCACCCGACTCATGGGCGAATCATTCCGCCATCACGCGCAGGCGCTCGTCGGATACGTCGACGATATGGAGGCGTCCTCAAATGTATCAACCCCGTCTATGATTTCTCAAGGGGCTGATGAGGATAGCGTGTATTAGTTCGAAAGAGACGACTGAAACGATTTCCTTTGTTTTCTGAAGGGTTTGCACGGGGGTGGTCTCCGTTTTCCTTGGCATCATATACCTCTTGGTTCACATCAGGCGTTACGGGACCCGAGGACTTATCCCAGCGCCGCCGTCCAGCCTTCGCGCTGCGAAAGTGGGAGGGTGCTGACGGCGCGGGGCTGCAGGCTTTGCGTGTTCCGCATACGCTGCGTTGCATTTTGGTTTCCTTGACTCTTTCCGTCACCTTTTTCTTGGACTCTTTCCTTCGCAATCGGGTCTGGCCTCGGATCAAGGGCAATAATGGGCTGGATGACTTGAGTGGCGGCTCACCACAGCTTGCGATGTGCTAGAAAGGAAGGGGATACTCGCACTTGCAAGCTATGGAGCGGTCCTCTTCGTGTTGGCTGGTCCAGAACTGGTCTCGCTGTAACGGACCCTGCGTTTCGCCTTTCGCTGCCGAACAGGTTGATTTTGACCGACGGCACATAACTATTTCCTAATTACTCAGGCTGCGATGTCGCGTCGATTCATTTCCTCACCCTCGGTACCTTCTCTTTACTTGACTGCGTTTCCTTATTCTTTTGCTCATCGTATCAATTTGTCTGTTGCATTTCATCTCGTCTTGCTTGCTTTTCGCTTTTTATTTTCTGCTTCGTTTCGCCCCTGACTTTTCAGATACCTTGTTCGATATACAGATTGCACCTGTTGATTCCCTTGGAAGGATGGGGTTCTGATGGAAGCTGAAAGGCAGCGATGGGTTGGGCTAAGGTAGATTTCTTTGCGAACAGCACGACATCTCTCCTGATCCAGACAGGCGGGTTAATGGTGGCAAGGGTCGGGACTGGGATGGCGAGCTGTGCGCAAGCATGTGTACCTGTAGAAAGGCCCACTTGGAGTTTTCGTCGTGCATATGGTTTCCAGCTTGATTCTTTTCCTTTCGCAGTCAATATCACATCTCTTCCAACATTAATGCTCGCGAGATATCGGTCAGGATGCGGTGAGCTGTTATGTACACGACAGCACATAACTGGGTGCTTCAGCAAACCTCCCCAGCTGACGAAACTGCTGATCATGTAGGCAGTCTATCTAGCGAGGTTGCCATCCTGTAGCAAGAACCCTTCGCGTGGTCCGTCTCGCCGTCTCGCCGAGAGAGGCATTGTGTCTCCGTGGTGGGTAGGTAGGGTTACAAGCTCAAGTCCTAAGGACGCGATGAGCAGATATCTTCGGCAGCGAGTGTGCATGGACATTTCGAGGACGTTGAAAGCCGCTCGGCGATGTACATACTAGGCAACACAGAAGTACCTCGTTAGGCTCAGGGTTCCGCGCATCTCCATGACTGATGATGATGATGCGGAGCTCATCCCTGTTTCCAGCGACCCACACTCCCCGCAGCATGACGATGCGGGGAATGGAGGCGGCGCCAGCTCCGAGTGAAGCAAGATTCCCATAACTACCTTGCTTCATAGCTCCGCGATGCAACTTTGTCACCACTTGTCTCCTCCGCCGCCATGACGCGACCCACACTGGACATTGTGCTGAAGAACAATACAACGTCTGACAAGGCATATGCGCACATCACGGGTCTAGACTTGAACAAGAACAATGCCGTCTTTATACTCCGCGCTGATGGGCATTCGGCCTACTACCCAGCCTCTCCCAAGGATATCTTGAAGCCGCTGGAAGCAGACTGCAACATCCCTCTCGGGCTCAGGGGGTCATCCACAAAAGTCACAATCCCCCAAATCGCCGGCGGTCGCATTTGGTTCTCGCTTGAGGGCCCTCTGACATTCCTGCTGAACCCAGGACCGGCTGTTGTCGAACCCTCGGCCACAAACCCCTCTGATCCCAACTACAACCTGAACTGGGGGTTCTGCGAGCTCACCTACAACGCTGCACAGCTGTACGTCAACATTTCCTACGTTGACTTTGTCAGCTTGCCTATCGCGCTGCAGCTCGAGACCGATGACGGCAAGGTCACTACTGTACCGGGCTTCCCCGCCAACGCCCTCGACGCCGTCTGTGACGCACTCGTTGCGCAGGACACCGACGACAAGGCCGGCTGGTCACGTCTTGTCGTGCGCGCAGCGGATGGAAAGGCAAACCTGCGCGCCCTGAGCCCCAACTCGGCCATGGTTATGAACCCAGATCTTCTCAATACGTACTTCCAGTCCCACGTTGACAGCGTCTGGAAGAAGTATCGAGATAATGACCTCGTCGTGCATACACAGGCTGAGTGGGGCGACGTCAAGGGGCGCGTAGGTGGCGACGACAAGCTGACCTTTGAGGGCATCGGCTCCTTCGCCCGCCCGTCCACCCGCGACATCTTCGGCTGCAGTTCGGGGCCGTTTGCTGGGTACCCCGCCGACAAGGCTGCCGCCATGGGCAACATCGGGGCACGCCTGGCGGCTGCTTTGAATCGATCGACGTTGCTGTCCAACGGTCGCCAGCCTGAGGATGAAAAGGTTGAGGCCTATTATCAGGAGCCTGAGACAAACCACTATTCGCGAATCTGCCACGAGGTGAGCCTCGAGGGGCGGGGTTACGCCTTTCCATATGACGATGTGGGCCCCGCCAATGGCCATGATCAGTCTGGGTGTTTGTTTGACTCGAATCCCAAGGTCCTCACGGTCACAGTGGGTGGAGCGCAGTAATGCGGATGTCAGATGTATTGACTCGAAATGCGAATGTGTTCTTTACCGTGCCAGTCTGTGCATGTACTGCTCTATCCAGCATGCTGTGCGCAACGTTGATATGCCAAAAGGCAACTCTGCGCATATGTGGCCATCTTTGAAACGGTCTAGCATGGAAGCAGTGTCAGCCTCCCAAGAGTTCAGACTTGCTTCATGTCAGCCCGCACATATCACGGTCGAGGACCTGACGGTGATGGTTCTCGTGCTCCGTTGCAGCGTCGAAAAGGCTGCCACGTTCCACTGGTTCGCTGCATACACACGGCATGCTCCAACATTGTCCGTCACGCGAATCCCCGAAGGTGACCACGGAGCTCTAGTATAGACGGGCTTTCGGCTGGCGGTCATTAAGCTTCCGCCCCCGCAACTTCTTGAGCCAAAAGCAGCCTCAGGACTAATCTGCCCTCAAATGAATGCACTTGCGAAAGCCAGCCGAACAGACTAGCACGGCGCCATTTCAGAGCGTAGACCAGACGAGAACAACCCACGCCGGCAGGATCATGGCGTCGTTCTGGCCGCTCGCCGTCAACGTTGATAATCAGCGCGGCCAAGTAAGTGTAGCGCTTCTTTCACCAGTTGTCGAAATTGCCAAAGCCGCCACTCTTTGCCTTCTTCTTCGGCGGCTCGTTCCATGTGTCCAGGTGGTTCCCTACCACTTCCTCGCTGGGCTGTTGTGAGGACAAATACTTCCCTACTCCGCCTCCAGTGGTTTCGCCGGCAGAAGTGCCATCAGCGCGGAGTCTCTTGCCCGTCCACGTGGTACGGTCATCTTCCGTGCCACCACTTAGCTTGATGGCCTCCTTGGCCTTGTCGGCCTTTTCGCGCTCCAGCTTCTGCTTCTGGAATTCATCAAAGGGATCCACATAAACCACAACGTTTTTCATGACAATGTCGTTGATAGGGCGATCGGAGCTGTCTGTAGCCACATTCTCAATCTTGGAGAGGACATCCAGTCCCCCAACAACCTTGCCGAAGATGGTGTGCTTGCGGTCCAAATGCTTAGCAGCGCGGTAAAGAATGAAGAACTGGCTCGAATTTGTGTTCTTGCCCTTGTTGGCCATGCTCAGCAAGCCGCGCGCTTCGTGTGTCAGAGGGCCCTCGAATTCGTCCTGAAAGTTCTTGCCCCAGATGCTTGTGCCACCTTTGCCCGTCCCTGTGGGGTCTCCGCCCTGAATCATGAAGTTGCGGATGTTGCGGTGGAAAGCTACTCCGTTGTAGTATCCCTTCTGAGCGAGCTTGATAAAGTTCCATACAGCACGAGGAGCGAATTCTGGGAACAGCTCAATGTTGAGCTCACCAAGGTTTGTTTCGATACGAACGTAGCCTGAAGTCTTGATTCGCTTCGGCTTGAGCATGTATTCCTCGTCCGATATGAGCGCGCGCTCGCCGCTCGTCTCCGGGGTCAGTCCCGTGCTAGTGAAACTGGCGGCGGCACGTCCTGTGGTGTAGACGGCAGCATTCGGAGCCTGTTTCTTGTCGTTGATCATCGACGTCCTCGGGTGCGACGGCCATAGATTTGACAAGGGCACCGCCGGCCGCCGTTCGGTTCACATCGCCACCGGCCTCGCGCTCTTTGCGGGCTTTTTCCACGGCCAGCTTCGCCCTGATAACCTTGTCGCCGATGCGGCCTAGCGCATCGACGTTGACGTTGCCATTCTTGCGCTCCTCCTTCCTGCTCCTTAGTCAAGAGAGCCTCTTGGCCGTCGTTCAGGTACTTGAATTGGCTAAGGTCGCGGCTCGCGGCGTTTTGTGGGTCTTGAAGCGTGATGATGTCGGCGCGGGTGAAGTCCTCGTCGTCCACAAGATCCTTCCAGTTCTTCGCCTTGATGTTCATCTTCTGCACCGTATCCCACGCAAAGACATTGGCGTAGGCGCCATGCCGAATGGCAACGATATGTGTATTGTCGGTGAAGACTTTGTACGAGACAGGATCAATGAGATCGCCGCGGCCGTCGCTGAAACCAGGCGTGCGCGAGTCGGTCTCGGCGTTGCGAGCAAAGTTGAGCCTGATGAGGTCCTTGGCGCTTAGCGGCTCGCCATCCACGGGATTCGTCTTGTGCTTCTGGAGCCATGAGTCGATGACCTCCACATCGAATATGGTGCCGCTACTGGTGCACACGGGGTTCTTGAAGGGCTGGAGGCTGGCGGCACAGAAATTGAAAGGCAGTCGGCGAAAGGAAGCACCACCTGAGCGCGACTTGGCGCCGGCGGAAGCCGAGTAGTTGTCGCCGCTGGACCACTCGCTGTGGGTGATGTAAAGTTTGTCGGTGCCTTTTCCCATTGTCACTTGCTGGGAGTCTCGCGAGAGCTTGATGGGATGCTGTAGTCGTGGAGTTCCGAGCGAACCTCTGGCCGGGCTCAGATGGGTCCAGTGTTCGCTGTTGAGGTACTGGTAGACTTTACTGTGGACCTCGAGCGTCCCGCGTCATACCTAGACGGCCCCAAGCACGCGCCTAGTGGACCACCTAGCCTTGTCCCAGGTAGGTAGGTGTCTGCCTACCTAGGTACGTTAGGTGTCCTCGACCTCCACTCGGCTTTGAAGTAAGGTGGGAGCACTCTCTTTCGCGGGAGCCTTGTCGCAGCTCATCTTTGACCACACCCATCCCTTCCGGCACACGGTTTAGAACGCGGTATCATTCATCACAGCTCAAGCAATCAGACAACCATTGACGAGTTAGCGGCACATCTCGGGATATCTCTTTGATTCCCAGCAGTGTCTCCCTCAACGCCGACAGCGCCAGCCCAACTTCGAGGCATGCGCTTCACTGCTTCAAGCATTCGATCAACCCAGACAGGCTGTCTATAGCTTCCTAGCTGCTGATAAAACCTGAGGCCGCAGCATCTTCGTCGCGACTCGACGTCGCCCAGCTTCGCCATGAAGTCATGGATGTCCGGCCTCGTCATGGGCCTGTGCCTATGGACGGCCCATGCCATGGAAGTCAAGATAGTATGTGAAATGCCCAATCCGGCCCGCCGGCACTCCCACATCCAGAAACATGTACTCTATACAGACCCTAATTCCATCTCCCTTGTAGGATCAGACAGATGAGAATCGACAACGATGCGCCGGAATGTACAGCCGCAAGGCCTGGGGAGGACCGGTCGACCCCTATATCAACATATTGTTCCCCGCTGTTCAGACCGACAAGGACGCTGTCGTGAGCGTCGTCGTTTTCGAGTGGAAGGACGAAGAACTCATTGGAATTCGTGAGAACCCCGAGTCGCTTAAAGTAAGCTTTTCTTCTGGCACATGTTCGTTGCGGTCGACATGATCTGACCTCAATATCAGAAAATCGGCATTTGCGAAGACAAGTGGGTAAAGAAGGGATACTGCAACGAAACCGATATAGGAGAGTTCATTTTGGCTGAAGGCGCCACCGAAAAGTCCAAGAGCCTGATCCAGACTTACGCTGTCAACCTCAAGGATCCCGGCAAACCTACAAAGTACATGATCTCTCAGACAGGCTACTACTGCGTCTTGACCGATCGCTTTACCGCGCAGAACTACGAGGCCGTTGTCGAGTTCCGCAACGCTTATGGCGAGCTTCCAGCGACCCAGATACCTAAGCTGCCTTTCTACGGAGGTGTTACTATCCTCTACGCCCTAGTTGCGGTGTTCTGGGGTTTCCTTTACTACCAACACCGACATGATATCCGTAAGGACCATGCGAATGGTACTGTATGAGGATCCATGCTAACAGTGTCAAGTGCCTGTGCAAAACTACATCACTGCAATTCTGATCTTCCTGGTCGTCGAAATGTTGATGACTTGGGGCTTCTATGGTATGTTCTGCCTCGCATTATCCTGGAGCCAATGTCCACTGACGCGCTTCAGACTATCTCAATCGCAACGGCTCAAACATCGGTTCCAAGGTTCTTCTCGTATTGGTGGCCATACTGAATGCCTTCCGAAACTCGTTTTCCTTCTTCCTACTCCTCATCGTCTGTATGGGCTACGGCGTGGTCAAGCACACGCTTGGCCGGACCATGATCTGGGTGCGCTGGCTAGCCATCGCGCACTTTGTCTTTGGCCTCGTTTATGCAGTCACCAGCCTGCTTGTCACTCCGGACGAAGCTGGTAAGTCGTCACTGGAAATATATTGCTCGAGCCGACTGCTAATCTCAACAAGGCATCTTCGTTCTGTTGATTGTCCTTCCCCTGGCGAGCACGCTCACTGCGTTTTACGTGTGGACCTTGAACTCTCTGAACTTTACGCTTAAGGATCTCAGGGAGCGCAAGCAGCATACTAAAGAAGCCATGTATAAGAAGCTCTGGTGGTGCATTCTCATCAGCATCTTTGTTATCTTTGGCTTCTTCTTCTTCAACAGTTTCTCATTCGCCTCGGTCAATGATCCGGACTATGTGCCTTTCCACTGGAAGTCTCGTTGGTTCATTCTCGACGGCTGGCTTAACTTGGTCTACTTTGCCGACGTTGCGTGGATAGCATACGTCTGGCGGCCTACTGCCAACAACCGCCGCTTCGCCATGAGTGACGAGATTGCTCAGGACGACGACGGCACTTTCACCATGGCGGATATTGGAGCGCCCGATGACTCGGACGACGAGGAGGCTCAGCTTGGCAAGGACACCAACGCGCGGCAGACACTGCAGGAGCAGCTGTACACCCAGCCTGGCTCAACAACGCGCGCTGGTCAAGCGGGCGCATCCGCCGGTGCCTCTACAGTGCCAACACAAAGGAACCTGCCTAGAGAGTCACTTGACGGTGAGACCATCTTCGCCGTTGGTGAGGATGGTGACAGATTCTCGGATGACTCGGACGAAGAGAATGCGAAGCTGGTTCATTCTGGAAAATAAGCGGGGTTGAATATTTCTTTGGCCACGCTACATCATGTATGAATAGGGATTGCACTACAGCGGCGCCAATAACGAATTGATTACAGTAGAGAGCACCAACGCGCTCATGTGGGCAGATCTTGATACCATGTCTCCCTTCTCATAATCGTACATACTGTACACTGACTACACCAAGGTCAAACATCGCCGCCGAACCCGACCGGCCGTCTCTGCCCGTCGTTCTCCGGTAAAATCGCCATGACCTTGTAGACCTTGCCCATACCCCCAGGGCCCCTATCCACCAGCCTGCGCCATGACTTCTCGATATCCTCAGCCCTCTCTTTCGGCAGGCCAGCCCGGTTGCTCAGCATCTCTGCCCTCTCTTTGATGCCCATCTGACCGAGGAAGGCCGCCTGCTCAACCGGGCCATGCACCTCGACACCGTCACTCGCTTCGGTGACAGCCTCAGCGAGGGCAGCAAAATCTACATCAGCGCTAAGATCGACGAGCCCAGGCTCGGTGAAGGGGTTGACACGACGGTGGCGACGAATACCGCGCAATGAGTTGATCGGTATCGTGTCCTCGGTGCCGTAATCGAGAATCAGGGCAGCCCCGGCGGGCCGCTTTCTCGGCGCCTCGGCCGTGCCGCCGATGCGGGCGGCGAGGTCACCGGCGAACATGCTCGCGTCGGGACAGACCTCGATCACGGAGCCCGGTACGGACTTCAGAGCTCGGTAGCGCTGGGATGACTCTGGTACATAAAGAGCATGCTTCGTCGGGGCCGGGGAGAGGGTGAGCTGGAACTCTGGTACCATCTCTTTCTGTTCAGACGTGGGTGTGTTGAGCGTTGCGTGGGTCGCATCCGGTGGTGTGGGCGAAACCACGAGCTCGCGCCATTCGAACACGGGAAGGGGGGCAGCCTCCACGACGGAAGGCTCTGGCTGGGTTGGTAAGTTTGGCGGGCTTGGGGTTGGCGTCCGAGGAGGTATGGGAGGAGGCGCTTTCTTCGCGCTCTGGAAGGCATGTATGGGCAAAGCGTCGAAGAATTCGTGCGCCACCATAAGGGGCATCTTTTCCGGGCCTTCCGGGATGGCCTTAACGACTCCGGTCCAAACGATGGGGATGTTGCCGTACTTGGATATGCTGTGATGGCCAATCTTGGACTCGGTCATGGCGGCATCTGGTCCGCACAGGAGGCTTTTCTGCGCCTCCCGCAGCGTTGGGCTTGCTTCCACCATGTATATGGCATCAATGCTACTGGCGAACTCCTTAAAGTTCTGGACTGTCCTGAGTATGTCGTCCATTAGGGTTCCTCGGCCTGGTCCCAGCTCGATCAACTCGACGCCCTTATTCGGCTTGCCCTGGCTCATCCACTCTGTGACGAACCAGATGCCCACAAGCTCGCCAAATATCTGTGAGATCTCCGGTGATGTAACAAAGTCGCCCTTGGTTCCGAACTGATCTCTTCCTTGTTCAATCAGGCCGGTGTAGTAGCCTCCAATATCACCCGTCATGCACATGCGCATATAACTGGCCAAGGGGACAGGACCGGTAATCTAGAGTCCCAAGTTAGCAATGAAAACATAAGTAAGGGGCGCCAGTGGGATATGCACACCGAAATCGCATCTGCAAGTTGTTTCGCCAGTGGCGTTGTCCATTTCCTGGCTTCGCTTTCGCTCTGGCGACGGCATGCGCTGCAAGACAAGCTCCGTGTAGCTTGCGACGGACGGAGAGTTTGCGGTCGTAGAACACATCGTGAGGCTTGGAAAATGAACTGAGGCGTAAACATAGTTCTGGTAGCCATGCTGACGCCAGTGGTCTAGGCGCTCGAAAGGCCACCCTGATAACGAATGAGGAGATGTCTGGAGGAGGAGAAGCCCTTCCTTTGGCCTGGCTGCGTCCACGCAAAAACATCAAGATCAGCGGCTTGAGCTTCCACGATGCGATAAGATAAGCGATTGGGCCAAGCCGGGCAGGGAACCAGCCCATCCACCAGCCTCGCAAGATCCAATACCAAAACGCTCATTGTATTGCCCGCGAGTCCAAACCTCTAAGCTCAAGTTCGACGCTCTTCCGATATCGCAATCGTACTTCCGACAACTCAGAGGATCTGCATCATGGCCGGCAGGTGGGCCGACACAGAAGAAGACGCCGCCTTCGAAGCAAAGCGGAAGCAAGAGAAGGAAGAGAAGAAGCGCCTGAAGGCGCAAAAGGCTGAGCAGCAACGCAGAGTTGAAGCAGAGCGCCAGACGCAGGAAGCAGAATTACAGGCGCCAGGCGCAGAAGAACATGACCGGCCTTCGAAGAGGCGGAAAACAACCCCAGAACACTACACAGCCGACGGAGACACCCAGGGAAACGCTAAGCTACTACGGTTCCCTTTGCGCTCGTGGGATAAGTGTCGCAGCGTCGAACGTTACGACAAGCTCAACGACATTGAAGAGGGCACTTATGGATGGGTCTCCCGGGCCAAAGACACTGCCACTGGCAAGGTTGTCGCGCTGAAGAGGCTGAAGCTTGAGCCGACAGACCACAACGGACTTCCAGTGACTGGGCTACGCGAGATTCAAATATTGAGGGATTGTCAACACAGAAATATTGTGAATCTTGAAGAGGTTGTGGTGGGCGACGACACGTCGAAAATAGAACAGTATGTGCCTTTCACTCTCATCAGACGGTCTGAAGAGTGCCTAGCTAACTGTAGTCTGGAACAGCATCTTCTTGGTTCTCGAGTTCGTCGAACACGACCTCAAGAGCATCCTTGAGGAGATGCCCGAGCCGTTCCTCCTTTCCGAAGTCAAACGCCTGCTCCTCCAGCTCACTTCAGGCATTACCTACCTCCACGAGAACTGGATACTACACCGCGACCTTAAGACTTCCAATCTGCTCCTCAACAACCGTGGACAGCTCAAGATAGCCGACTTTGGCATGGCACGTTACGTTGGCGACCCGGCGCCGAAGCTGACGCAGCTTGTCGTGACCCTCTGGTACCGCGCCCCCGAGCTCCTCCTCGGCGCTAAGACCTACGACTGGTCTGTCGACATGTGGAGCGTTGGCTGCATCATGGGCGAGATGCTCACGCGCGAGCCCCTCCTTCAAGGCAGCAACGAGGTAGACCAAGTGACCAAGATTTTCGAGCTTTGCGGTGTCCCGACGCAAGAGTCTTGGCCTACGTTCCGCAGCCTCCCCAACGCCCGTACACTGCGTTTGCCAAAGACGTCGCTCGTCACAGGGTCCATCATTCGTGCCAAGTTCACTTCGCTGACGAATGCGGGCTGCGGCCTGCTGAACGATCTGCTCGCCCTTGACCCAGACAAGCGACCCTCGGCCAAAGACATGCTGCAACACAAGTACTTCAGCGAGGACCCCAAACCCAAGCAAGAGAGCATGTTCCCCACCTTCCCTAGCAAAGCCGGCCAAGAACGAAGGAGGCGGCATGAACCCCATGCTCCGGGCCGCGGACAGCAAGCGGCAGATTTGAAAGAGGCCGACTTCAGTGGCATCTTCCAGGGGCGAGACAGAGAAGAACGTGGTGACGGGTTTCAATTACGCATGGTGTGAGATGTAGATAAAGAGACATGTGCAGTTGAGCAAAGAGACGAAATGATATCTACGCCGACATTATATCCATTACCCAGTATGATTGATGATGGTGAAGATCAACCCCGTTAAGACCGAACCTGTGTGGCCAACGCCGCCCGAAAAAAGCCACCAGTCCCAACCAATCCCAGCCGTTCGATTTGCGTGCATCGCTTGACAAGACAACCATGAACCAAACAGTTTTGTCAAGATTGTAGAGCAAAGCGCGAGAAGAAGCAGCAGGCACTCCATTAAAAAATGGTACCCGATACGAACCAGGTGAAGCTTGCTACCGTCGCGACACTCATAGTCAGGGCGAAACCAACAGCCTTGGAGTCAAATGCAGGAACACCAGCGTTACATGTCGGACAGGTCCAACCATCCTTTAAATCTTCGTAGCTGTTGGGTAGGTAAATGTCGAAAGTGAAGCTGTCATACGGGGCCAGGTAGCCGGGCCGGGGAGTGGCCTCAGGGCCCTCGTCAGAGTCGTAGACGACGAGAGTATATTTTCCGTTCGAAAGAGCCATCTCGGCACCGGCTGTAGCGTACTGCTCGGTCTCCCAGATGACGTTGTTGCCCATGGTTGAGTAGGTCATATTCTGCGTAACAGTCCAGACGTTGTTGCCCAAGGCCATGCTGATAAGCACATCGACAGCAGTCGGCTCGGCCTGGACGTTGGTGTAGTTCCATCCCAGCGTGATGTCATTGCCAGCCTTGTAAAGCTTGAGCGCCGGGTCGGTGGGGGCAGGGGTAGTCATCTGAATACCGCCGGCAGCCGCAAGGTCGTCGATCGAGGTCGTCCTTGTTGACGACCTAGTGTTCGTTCCGGTCGGGATCTCAGCCGTGTTCAAGCTGCCGCCCCTGCGGCCAGTGGTCGTGGCCGTCTCCTCTTCAGTGCCAGATCCGGTGGTGCGGGCTGAGCCCGTCGTTCGAGGCGCCTGGGTTGTCTCGGCAGCCGAGGCTTCTGCAGAAGCTATGAGGCTTTGTCAGCGTTTCCGTTGCATGCTAACATGCGGACCATGGCTGTACATACCAGAGGCATCAGCCGTGGTTCTCTCATCGTCGTTCTGACGGACGACTAGGGCATCAATCTCAGGGAGCCACTGAGGCCAGGCAGAGGCCAAGGGCGTCAGTGCTGCGAGGCAAACAGCAAGAGACTTGGTAGCCTTCATTGTGATTTTGGTCCCGATGATTCCAACGCTTTCGGCAAAGAAGTTTTCCGTTCTCTCTTATCAACAACGCGAACGAATGGGTTATCGCAGCCTTCCAGACGTCCACGGGCGAGGAGGTGCTCGTCCAGGTACTAGTGTTTGAAGGCGTGTTTTGGTCGGGCCCCTTTTCAGCCAACGAGAGCGAGTGGCAGCGATCAAGTCGTGGATGATATTAAAATGAAATGATAATGGAGGGGTGAAGTTGAAGGAAGAAGAAGAAGAAGAAGAAGGCGAACGATTGTGAGAAGCGAGTGTCACAAGGCAATGCTGCTTGTAGAGAGATGGGGTTGTGTCGGGTCGGATGGCGAGAGAGAGGAGGCGCGGCTTGCACGCAGGTTGAACAGACAAAATGCTGAGGTGATGTGGTGACCCAACGGGGCTCCTGGCACGGGTTGAGACTTTTCGGGTACAGGGGGTTGGAAGATGTTGCAGTGCCACCACAGCCACAGCTCGTAATCAAGCATCCAGCCAGCGGCATGATCTGATCGTCGCCTGGGTGACCCTGGCTAGCCTTGCTTTTCGGCATCGTCTTGCTACATCAAGACTAGCGCCCTCCACTGGATCGTATTCTGTCTGCTGTGTCTTGATTTTTGGCCCCCTATACCTCTCGGGTGTACCTAGGGCGGCGAGTCGTTGGTGCTGAGCGAATGCAATGCCTTGCGATGCTTGTGGGGAGTTTCGCTATTAATAGGGCCTTCCGCTTGCCCGTCATCGAGTCGCCGTGTGACGGGGACGATGTGCCTGACCTCGAATAGACGACTCCAGTCACGTGTCAGCATCTTAATTCTGTGATCCGTCTCTTTTACAGCATGCAACTTGTCACTGATCTCGTTTCCGCTTCGTAAGACACCGTAAAACGCTTGCTTTTGTCCGAGGTCATGTCTCTCTTGTGGAGGCCAATAAATAATCGGAGTCTTTCGGCCATTCTATGAAACCACACTGCGTTCAATCAGTCTGATAGCGTTACTTGCTTTTCCAGCATGGACAGCTTTTAAGCACACCGAATGTGCACTCTTGTATTATCACCTCGTCCGCCTGAACACCAACGAACCCATCAACACAGGGGCAAGACGGTTAAATGCTGTAATAGGAGAATCAGGGTTTGGATCGAATGTTTGGTCCTCATTATATCGCTACTTGTATCAATTGACGGGCCTGAATGTTAATTATCTAAGGTGTCGCTGAACTAAGTAAAATCACAACACAGCACTCCTTCACCAGCCGCTATTGTCAAGTCACACAAGTTGGACCTTGGGGTTGCGAGGCAAAAGTATTAGTTTCGTCCGTGTCTTCGCTACTCAGGCCACCAGGATCCAATCTCTGGAATCGATTAGCCATGGCAGTAAGTTCCACAGTTGACCAAGCAGCAGCAGCACGAGCTCGGGTCTTCGAGGCAACGAGGCTCTGGAGCGGCGCAATACATCGGTCGGCATCCCACTCAACCTTCGAACCCTTGTACTTGCTACGACACAATCAGCATCGAGCGAACGAGCTTCCATGTTCCTTGTTCTGCTGCCGCACAACTCACTATCGACTCATCATGCAGGTGCGGGCGAACATGGCATTATACACTGAATTGGTCTGGATGAAATAGCTCCCGGCATCAAAAGAGATTCGGATGATGACAAGATTGTGTATGTGCTCCAGGTCATCACGTATGCTCTCTGCTGTGACTTCGGGGCTACAGCGTCGCACGATCAAGTTGCGTGTCGCTCCACTGCCGATTTTGTGCTAACGTGGCCTGGTAGAACACATTGTCGGTCGCTCCATTTAATGTTCACCTACTCAATGTCAATTTGCTGGAATCACGCCACGCGTACTGTTTGTTGTCCCCATGAGCCGCAATGTACCCTCTTTTGTCGGATGTACAGGTCATTTCGACGGACATGATTGTAGAAGGCTTGGGCGCTTGCCGCATGTAAGAAGGAGATCTGAGCCGACCGATCATGAGTTTTGAGGAGCGCTTCGAGCAGCATGCTACCTCGAACCACATCGGTGATATCGGCATGTGTTGTGGTCTCTGCCAAATCATATAGCACGACAGTGCGTATTGCCGTCTTTGCGTACTGCGCGTAGCGCGTAGCGAGGCCGCTTAGTTACAGCATCAGTGGGGGGTGTTATCTCTTCAAATGCTGGGTCAAGAACCACAGTTTCAGTCTTGTGTCCATCATTCATGGTGCGAGGGGGTTCGTCTGTAGTCCTCACTCTCGAGAATGCATACACCAACGGGCGGGGGTTTCCAGATGGCCTCTGAGTTTTACAGTGGTGCCCCTTGGCATGGGAGTCGCCACGTCGACCAGGGGCATTGAGGTCATGGTCTTGAAGGGATCGATGATCATGAGCATCATGGGTGTCGGACGATGCAGCATCAGCTTTGGGCTCCAAGGTCTCCTCTTGGCTCAAAGACTCTTCGCTGCTCAAGAGCTTTAATATGAGTGCTGTTAGTATTGCCCAGTGGTCTGCATTATTTCAGTAGCCAACTCACATCGAGGGTGGCTTGGGTAGCACCCCCATTGATGAGATTAGAGCACAGATTGGCTTGTAATTCATGTCTGTTAGTGACGAGTACACGGACTCATGGTAAAACGACTGAAACGCGGTTACACACCATAGTGGCGAGCGACAGCCTTCAAATCGTCGTACTCGGGCTTCAGTATCAGTATTGTGCCGTTATTGGTCGACGTTGGAGCTAAGTCGGAGGGTAGACTAGACGCGGACGGCTGGTTCTTTGGCACCCTGAGGTCAGCCTAAGCTTTGTGGAATCTGAGGGTGGTACGCCTACGAAGTTGCACCCATGGAGGACAGACCTTGTTAGCTACCGACACATCCCAATGGACAAGGGAGAAGCGGGCCGTAAACCTAAGCACTGTGGGGAACACAAAGAGGAGCGGGTGGCACTCTGCCTACCAGGGAAATCAGTGAGATAACCTACCTGCGAATCAATGTGTCGAAGTACGTACGACTAATCGTGACAGGTGCTGAAGACTCCATGGTCATCATACGTCCCCTGCAACTGAATGGTCAACTGGATGAATGGTCAACTGGATGAATGGTCAACTGGATGAATGGTCAACTGGATGAATGGTCAACTGGATGAATGATCAAGTTCAATGCCGTGTTGCGTCACGATAATATCTAGACTGGGGATGAGAAGTATGGTTCTAGACTCCACACCTTTTTTACTCTTCAAGCTGAGAGCGAGAGGAGACCTGGCCACGCCAACGCAAATGCCGGTTTTACGCCCGATTCGGGTTGTGGCAGGTACCATTTGATGACAAGTGGGGCTTCGCGTGCAGGCTCTTGTTAGGGCGTGCAATGTAACTTCCCGAGGACCTAAACAGAGGCATAATGGCTTTCCAAAATTGAGACGGTGCTCTCAATCACCACCGCCAACTCAGCTTCACAGTGGAATTTGTTTTTTTGAGATACAGACAAAATCTAACGTTAACTGTACGACTTGCTGTGCCACCCATGCTTAAGCATTGGAGGTCATGTTCTTCCTTACCCGGAAACCCGAGTTGCCATCTCACCATGGTCCGCTGAGCGGGAATCGCTCCTATCTTCCGCCCAGTTTCTAAATCCGTGTGCCCTGCTCCCCCTTCTCCTTCTCCTTCGCTCCCTGGATGAAAACAAAGCCAATATTCCCATGATTGTCGTCGACCCTTTGCCGGTTCCATGACCTCTCATCCACACCCGCCCGAATGACCAGCGTCTGCATGCCATCGCCCCATGTTGTACGCTGGGATGATGCCTTACCAACAACAAGTCACCTACCTACTTGGTGTTGTTGGTTGCTGAAGCCAAGTAGCTGAGTAGGAAGTTTCGGTCGGCCGGCGAAATGGGTGTCTGGCTACCCCGTCGAGATTCGACCGCGTCGTCCTGAGCGATCTGCCCTAGTAACGGCAGTCCCCTGCTAGCTGCAGACCCTGACCTCGATGTAGTTTCTGGTGCAGCTGAGTCCGGAACTCTACCCGCAGCATCTGGTGTAGTAGGGGCAACAGATGGAGGTTTGCCAAAAAGTGAAAGCAGCTTATTTCTCTGTTCATGCGACATGGATTCCTTTCTCTGCAAGGCCGCAGGCGTAGGAAGTGACGATGTCGCCGGAGGACTGGCGAGGCTTGAAGGTTTGTCTTGTCCGATGGCCCTGTGCGCTGCCAGCGTCGCATTGACAGACACTTGACGCGGTGCTGTTGTGTGCCCCAAGACCTCAGGACGTCTCAGGATCGTGAAAGGCGGTGTTTGAGTAGCTCCCTTGTTCGGCTGCTTGCGGCTGAGGTTCGAGGGGTCTGCATGGTTAGGTTGATGTGCCGCTGAACCCTGTTCGGCCTGCTGCGCAATTGGCTGAGAGGACAATGGGTTAACTTCGACGCCAGAATGTCCAGGTCCATGTGTGTGCTTTGAGCTGACCGTGGCTATCTCGGGCGCCTCTAAGCCTTGGTTTGTGTGCGCCACCCCTGTGGTGATAGCAATGTCTCCCTCAGGCTTCTTAAACATTTGCAGTAGCGCAGACCTATGCTGTTCAGTGCCTGTCGCGCTGCGACCGGGACCAGTCTGGGCCGAACCATGGGCCGAAAGAGACGCTTCCTGTTGCCAGAAGGCCGGCGGAGACTGGTATTGCGCAGACTGCACATTGCTGCCAGGTTGATGTCCCTGTTGCTCGGTTTCGTTCGTAACGAGGTGTGGTTGTTGGCCGTTGCCCCCTGGTGCTGGATTAGGAGATTTAGATCCGGACTTGAGGACACCTAGCAATGCCATGGAGTGGTTGTTGAGCTGAGTAGGTGGTGGTTTTGGAATTGGCATGTAATTCTGGGTAAATTGTACAAGTCCTTCTGGACGCGAATATCCTTGCGGACGAATCTCATGCCGAGTCGGCCCATGCATGCCTGTCGGATATTCAGTCGAGGGGCCAGGATTGCCATATATCGCTTGTGGTGATGCAGCGTGGAGGCGCTGGTGAGGCTGCTGAAAGCGGCCTGGTACAGGATCACCCTGGGCGAACTGTTGATGATGGGAAGAATATTGGACCGGCACGTTTGGTTCCAGTGGAAATTGAGGGGGCGGCTGATAGCTTGAGAGAGGAGCCCTGGGTTGTGGATGTTGGTGATGCAGCCTAGTTGTCTGGATTGAAGTATTCTCGATGTAACCGATGGGGTTATGTGGCACGTGAGTTTGCGGACCACTGTTATGGACTTGGCTATTCGCCTGGAGAACGGCGAGAAGAGATGCGCCCTTGTCCCGGTTGTTATCGGACATGGATGGCATTTGAAGCCCTTGCGTATTCGGTTGAACCTTGAGCAACCTTTGAAGCTCTTTGGTCGCACCTTCAAGGGTATCTAGAGCAGGAGTGTGCTCAACCACGGCTGCCGTTGGCTTATCTTGTACCCAAGCGTCATCTTCAGTAACAGGCTCCTCGTAGAGATTCTGAGGCTGAAAGTAAACCTGTTGGGTGTTCTTCGCATTGTCTCGTTTCTTCTGTTGCACTACCCACTTCTTCAGAGGGACGAGGAAAGGAGCAACCATGTAGAACTTGTTTGCGTTTGCGGCGGCGGCGGAAGCCGCGGCATCATTTTTGATTGTTACCTTTCTTCCGAAACGCAGGGAGTTCAGAAAGATTGTACCAAGAGATCTTGCTGATCTCCTTCCTGGTACGTGGCGCGAAATGGGTATCCATGGGGACATCCCGAAACACGTATAGCCTCATCTGCTGCTCTCTCATGGTTATCTCGATATGCTTAACATCCCGATTAGGAGGAACCAAGCCGGCAGCATGGAGATCGTATCCCGTTTCTTCATAGACCTCTCGGATGGCGCATTCCAATCGTCCTCATCCTTATTGATCTTGCCACGTGGGAAACTCCAATTGGCGCCCTTCTTCCAACCTTTGACAAGAACAGTAGAGTCCATGTCCTCATTGAGAAGAATTGCTCCGCGTACGGGCACTCGTGTTTTATACTGTAAAAACTCTTCAAATGCGCGAGTGTGGTTCTCTACCGAGAATGGCGCAAGGAGAGGGCAGTGTTGGAAGATTCTCAGACTGAAGTTTCGGAGGGTCATGGAAGGTAGGGTTGGGTCGAGCGGACGGACGAAGTCCTCGTAAAACCATTGAGCTTCCTCGATTTGAAAGCATATCCGTGCTACGGAGGAGAGGTCCTCCTCGGGGAGGTTGATGATGAAACGGACGCACAGGTCATCCAGCCCTTTACACCTATCAGTAAGAACAACTTGAAGAAGCTTCTTTTAGACTTACAATCTTCTAACTGCATCTTGTAGGCGGCCATGATAGAAGCGACGTCAGGCTCATGTCCGAGCCAAAGTCTTTGGGGTAGAGTTGATCCAATAATGGCGAGAGCGCTTAGGACATTCGTGTATTCTTCCGTAAAGAGATATCCAGCTGTAGTTGCATGGTAGGTGGCAAGCGGGAATGACGTGTTTGGCAGCGACCTGATCGAAGAGTACGTTGCGACAGTTGAGGCGCAAAACACCACGTCCAGGCACGGGCAGTTTCGTCGCACAAGGGTCGGAAGTTCGACAGGAGCGAATAACAGCGCAGGTGGAACCGCTTTGGGCAGCTTGATAAAACGGTTATTGTAGAATGCACCAAATCTGTCACAGCGAATGAAGTATCGTGATGGACCTCGTTGTCGACGTGATGTGGTAGATGAGAAAGCGAGCAGAATACGCAACCAGACAAGAGCCCGTGGGGCTGGACTGGGCTGTAGCTCGGCTGGATCTGGGACCCAAGATTGATAGGAGCTATCTATGTAGGTAGTGTTCTTGGATGCCGTGCGGGCAGCTCATGCAGGCCCCGGTCCTTATTGGCGGGAGGGGCGGATCACAGTACCGCCTACCTTGGTAGGGTAGGTACCTTAGGTAGAAAGGTACGATGCCTAGCCACATCAATGTGGCTGTGTCTCCTCACTCTGTGGCGAGGCCTCCCGCTTAGCCTGTGTCATCCGCTCGAGGGGTACCGGATCGTGGGTAGATTTGGCTATCGCCAGGTGCGAACGGCCTGACGCAGATGGCATGACATCATTATCGCGGTCAAGGCCAGAACTCAAAACAGGAATCAACACTATGTGGCTGACCAGGGAGGAACTCGTACAAAAGCAAATGCCCAGGCTCTGTGGTGCAATGCCGTTAAAGGAACGTTATGCCCTTTCTTCAACTTGACATTATTCACTGGCTCATCGCACGCTCAATCATACTGAGCCACACCCCACGGACTACCTCAACCGACGACAGAGCTTGGCGTGGAGTCTCGAAGGGCCGTGCCAACCGACACACTACGCGCCGCATAAGACACTGCCCCAGGCCCGCAGCCTGCAGGGAGGGTCCAAACCATTGATGCTGTTGAGTGGCGCTTCGAATCGCAATACATAAGGAGACGTTCGTCACCTCCAGCCACTTAGCTTCGTCGCGACGCCCGCTTTGGAGAGAGCGGAAGTCTTCAACGTCCAAAGTTGCTATCATGGCTAGCTTTATCGCAAAATTCATCACGAAGAAGATTCTCAAGGAGAGGGTGCAAAACAATTTCGGCACTGAGGTTAGCCGCGCCAATACTCAATTCGTTAGCTTCAATGACTGACGATGACTTAGGACCCTTACTTTGAGACCGTCCCAGCAACGCGCCTAGATGGCAAGCCTACGGACAAGGTCAAGAAGCGGCCCAAAGCCCTACCACCTGGCGTGTCCAAGCACGATGGCAAGGTGCTTACCAAAGTAAAGAGAAGAGCTTGGCGGCTGGACATGTGCTTGTTTAGTCTTTGCGGTGTACGCTTCGGTTGGGGTAGTGCCATCGGCCTTATTCCTGCGTATGTGCTCTTCTCTGATTCCAGAATGACAAGGTTAACCTTTTACGTTTAGCATCGGCGACGCCATTGATGCGTTGATGGCTCTCATGGTTTTCCGCACCTGTTGTAAGGTCGAGGGCGGCTTACCTCAGGGTGTGAAGACAAAGATGATAATCAACATCATTGTCGACTTTGCTCTCGGCCTGGTTCCATTTGTTGGCGATATGTTCGATGCCGCCTTCAGATGCAACACGAAGAACGCGGTTCTCCTTGAATCATATTTGAGGGAGAAGGGCAGGAAGAACCTCAGACAGAGTGGTGCCCCAATTCCGGAAATAGATCCCAGTGACAGTGTCATCTTTGACCAACGAAGAAGGGATGATCCCGACTCTGACGGCTCTGCTCATGTGGACCGCCAACCACAGCGCAACGGCACCATGTCGTCACGGCCTGATGGTACTCGACGTCATGATCGCACTGCGGAGCCGACAGTCCCGGCTACTACCAAGGTTCGTGATACCGGCCGTTCGGGCTGGTTCAACTTCGGTCGAGGCAGGGCGACGGATCTTGAGGCTGGCGGCGACAATATTGCCGACAGATCTACGGTTCCGACACGTCACCAGTCCAACAACGAACGCGGTAGGGAAATCTGAAAGACATGCAGTGGTTAGACTGCGACAGCCAATGTGTATGATGGTATGAATTGGGTTCAAACGTGGCATTGGTCGGCAACGCAACTCAGAACAAAGGTTACAGGTCAAGTTATCAACGCGTTGTCCCTCAGCTGGGTCTGTCGGCACGCTTTTGTAATATACTATTCGTGGCTATGTTTTCTCCTGGACTAAATGATTTCGTTCGCGTGTTGATAACTCGCCAAAATAGAGATTGAATAGCTGAATTTGTACAAGCGACATGACCAATGTTATGATGCAGTGTTTCTGCTCGGTTCCCGATACGCCGACAAAGGGACTCATACAGAACTGACGAGCGAGTTGCTCGGCCGAGGACGACGCATTGGGATTCACTTTTCACGGGCTATTACATCAGCTGGTTGGCTGCTTACATGACGATCTACATAAAGAACTACAAGAAGATGTGACCACGCCATGCCCGATTCCCTCAATAGGGTCGCGCGTGCGTGTGCACCTCGGACCTTATCAGATCTTCATCCTGGTCGACAGAGGCCAGGCACCCCGCCCCACCATGACGGAATGTGGATTGAGCTGGCCTGGAAACACACCCTGCCTACAACTCAACCAGTTGGGTTGTCTTCGCCTCGCGCAGATTGGAACGACACAAAGCACGCGGCAAATACTGAAGAGTAGACGGGGAACGGAATGACCTAATTCCAGAAAGAGCCAATTCCTGTCGAATACTAAGCGATGCAAAGGTTGCGAAATGCCAGTCCATGTCAGAAGCAGGGCTGGGCAGCTCTGTGTGACGGTCTTTACGCGTCGAGCGTGGAAACCTCCCCTCCCCCCTTCCTCCCTGACTTCGGTTGGCCGGGGTTCGCCATGGACCCAAGCGCGTTGGCTGGACAGAACACGGGGTGGGTCATGCAGGGATTAAAACACGCCCAAGGGGGGCTAGAGTGGGGTTGGTGCACCCAAAAACACGCTTAGAACGCGTCTCGACCACACGTGATGGCGTACCACTTTGTTCTACAAAAGGGCCGGATGCCTGGACAGCAACATCTGGCTCCCACTCTGCAACTCCTCACACCACCACACGTTCTGGAACAACAACTCTACGGTGAATTGACATATTCGAGCAAAGTCAATTCGTCACTATCATCGTTTCCAATCCTCCTCTGGTTCACTGCCAAACACACCTGCCACAATGTCTGTTGAGATCACTCCCTCGAAGCAGGTACGTCGCGTCATCACGATCCTCTCCGCCTTGGAGAAAAAAAAAGGCAAAGCTGACAATCATTCAACAGGCTGCTTCCGCCATTGAGTCGTTCAACATCGAGTCGCCTGTCAAGAAGCTTGACTTCAACACCGCCAACAAGGAGAACCACGCTGGTTCCGAGGCGGACTCCCTTGTCAAGTCCATGGACGAGCAGGCCAAGCCCATTGCTATCGAGGCAAAGAGGGAAGAGGGGGATAAGGCAGTCGTAGCTCCGGGAATCAAGGACTTTGAAGCCGATGAGCCGCTGCTGAGGGAGAACGGCCAGCGTTTCGTCCTGTTCCCCATCAAGTACCACGAGGTACGTGTACGACGCGTTTTGACGCGTAAAGTGGCTCTGAGGGTCGCGTTTTGTACTGACATGTCCACCAGATCTGGCAGATGTACAAGAAGGCAGAAGCTTCTTTCTGGACCGCCGAAGAGATTGATCTGTCTAAGGATCTCCACGACTGGAACAACAAGATCAATGATGATGAAAAGTACTTCATCTCACACATCCTTGCCTTCTTTGCCGCTTCAGATGGCATCGTCAACGAGAACCTCGTTGAGCGCTTCAGCGCCGAGGTCCAGGTTCCTGAGGCTCGATGCTTCTACGGCTTCCAGATTATGATGGAGAACATCCACTCCGAGACTTACTCGCTGCTCATTGACACCTACATCAAGGAGCCTGCTCAGAGGACCTATCTCTTCAACGCCATTGATACCAGTAAGTTGCAATTCATGATATATACCTGCAACATCAAACTTACATTGCCTTTTAACAGTTCCCTGCATTCGCAAGAAGGCTGATTGGGCCTTGACATGGATCACCGATAAGAAGTCTACCTTCGCCACCCGTCTCGTTGCTTTCGCGGTTGTTGAGGGTATCTTCTTCAGCGGTGCCTTTGCCTCCATCTTTTGGCTCAAGAAGCGAGGCCTCATGCCAGGCCTAACCTTCTCCAACGAACTTATCTCTCGTGACGAAGGTCTTCACACTGATTTCGCTTGCCTGCTGTTCTCTCACTTGAACAACCGCCCCAGCAAGCAGACCGTCCAAGACATTGTCACCGATGCTGTCAATATCGAGCAAGAGTTCCTGACCGAGGCCCTCCCATGTGGCCTGCTCGGCATGAACGCTACTCTCATGAAGCAGTACATTGAGTTCGTTGCAGACCGCCTCCTCGTCGCCCTCGGCAATGAGAAGGTTTACAAGGCAACCAACCCATTTGACTTCATGGAGAACATTTCCCTTGGTGGCAAGACAAACTTCTTCGAGAAGCGTGTCGCCGATTACCAGAAGGCTGGTGTAATGGGCAGCACTACCAAGAAGGAAGAGGAAGCGACCGAGGGCAAGGGCGAGAACGGCGGAGACTTCTCCTTCGATGATGACTTTTAAGTCACCCGCCCTCATCTCTTTTGCGTCTTTTCTCTTGATACCCTTGTATTATCTACGACAGATCGGTACATGTCACGACGTCCGTATACTCCTTGATGGAGCTCGGATGTCCCAGCGCATACACGGAGCAAAGCGGCACGCGTCGCGGGCTGGAGTTCAATTCTCTCAAGGGCTCGCATGAGCTGAGCTCTTATTTCATATTTTGTCGGACATGAACGGCGTTGAAGGGCGGTTTTCGTTTGATGAAAAGAGCGGCAAGGAGCTCTCGTACTATTGATTGGAGGCAATGAGAGGGAGGACATGATGACGCTCTTGAAGGAGCATATCTTAGCTTAGTGTTCCAGACCATGTCTGATAATTGATTTATGAAAACAACGTTCCATCGAGAATGCTCCTCCTTGTGGCGGGACGTTTTTGAGCAGCTGAGTGAGGCCATCTGCTGTTTCCGCATGACTTCCCAGCGAGCATGTACCCGCACAGTCATGCACTCATTTCTTGCCCTTCTTCTTCTTCTTGCCCGCGGCCCCTTGTGCCTGGCCTTGCTGCGGCTGTTGTGCCTGCGCTGGTTGTCCTAATGCCACCTTGCCATCGGGCGCCTCCTCTTCCTTGCCAGCCGCGGCCGGCGCATCAACCATGTCCTCCTCGGCCGTCTCCGGCAGAGCGGCCATGCCGCGTCCCAGCCGACCGAGACTCAGAATAAGGCGTGAAACCTCGGCGGCCTTGTGGGTTCGGTAGCGGAGGGTGACGCCGCTCGCGGGATCGAACGTCTTGAGAATGAGACGGCCGCGTGGCGGCTTGGGCACTCGGGCGTCGGGCATCGCAGCGTCGACACCCGCGCCTCCTGACGTCTTGGAGACGCTGGACTGGGCGGCCTTGATTGAGTAGGCTGTTGTGATGCGGGTCTGGGGGGGAGCGCATAAGGGGTTAGCTATGCTGCATCGATGGAGCGGGAGGGTTGGGGTCATGATATTGATCTGATGGGGAGCGGGCGCGGGCTGTCCTACGGTTGATGGGCGGGCTTTGAGGAGCAGCGAGGACTGCTCAAGCCATTCCTGGCTGGTGTGGTAGGTCGGCATGATTGTGTGAGGGGTGCTCCCAATGGCGGGCTGTGACCTAGCAGACAGGTGTCGCTTGTGGCGTGCAATATTCAGAAAATGCACGAGCAGTTCCGAGTGATATGGTATGTTCGAGGCAGTCGGTTGAGTGGCGCACTGGGTTCTGAAGGAGAGCTTGGCTGGTGGGTGTCGTCTTCAGAGAGTTGGCCGTGATGTTGGAAATTGACTGTCGTGTGTTACTCGCCGCCGCGGGGCCAGTTTCTGGTCCCACCCAGGCCAGTTACTCGACAGGCGCCTTGGTCGCTTCCTTCCAAACCTCTGGGGTAGGTGCCCCACTCTAGCTGGCGTCCATGGTTTTCAGCTTAAACGATCTGAAGATTTGGGAACACAAATACTTCCAAGTAACATAGCAATAACATAACCTACAACATTCTCTGACTAAGTCTGTGCTCGAACGTATGGGAATCGCGTAATCCAGTTTTGTGCGGCAGCAACGAAATAAAGGGTGTGAGAGGACAATGTTATTCATTGTATATGATTGGCAGTGGTTACATGTGCATGAAAGGCATCGCCTCCAGACATCCTGCTGGGTATCTTCTTCCGTCGGTCTATGATATTCAATTCGTCCGTCCCCTCAGGACGACCAGATCGTCACGCACTTCCCTCGTGGCTTTAAGCATGGGGGTCCGGCACCCAGAACAAAACCTCCTGGTCTGCTGTGGCGAAGAAGTTGTACCGGGGGATTCCAAGCAAGCACAGTCCGCCTCGCGCTTGTCCCTCCAGAATTGTCGAAGGGTCCAGAACCCTGCTCATCGGACGGCGTGCCCTGCGAATCCCCATACCAAGACATCCTTTCTTCGACCCCACTGAGCACGTACCGGCCATCACTGTGAATGAGCAGTCCCCGCTGCTTTCCGGGACAGATCCTTCTTCTGCACTAAAGCCCTCAGCCGACTCTCCCGCTGCCCGCCGCCTCGTCCCCCCCTCGGGCTTGCGCAGGTATGCTTTGAGGTGACCATCAAATGCATCTAGCAGGAAGTGTCCGTTACCTCTGGTTCCTAGAAGGATGTGCTTTCCGTCGTTCGAAAACTCAAGTTTCGTCCAGCCTTTCATGGAGTAGTCCTTGTCGACAGAGCGGACAGCATCAACGACATCAAAAACGGCAAAGGGCGCCTTGTCAAAGTTACGGCAGTCATAAAGGAGGACCGATCCACTGGCCGGCGAAGCTACGCCAAAGACATTGCCCGAGGGGTCATAGGCGGCCAGAGTAGGTTGGTTGAGAAAAAGCTGACCACACCACTGCTTTGACTTGATATCCCAGAGGCGGACTGTGTCGTCCTTGGCGCAGGAAATGAAGTTGTCCGTGCCAGGGTGTACTGCTATGCTCGTCACGGCTTTCTCATGACCCTCGAAGTAACGGATGAAGGAGTTGTCGTGGGTTGCTAGGTATCGGATCTGATCTGGGTTGTCGTCATTAGCTTCGATCTTAACATTTTCTTCTGCTGGCATGGCGTATTTCTGCCTACCATTCTGCTTAGTACTGGCATAGATGATGCTGGACGTTGTATGTGTGAACTTGGCTAGCTTGACGCCATATTTCTTGCTCAACAGGCTCTTTTCGTGCCTGCCCTCCCGAACATTGTAGATCTGTATCGTTTCGTCGCTTTCCGAGGTCATGAGAAGCTCGCCAGGGTCGTCAAAGTCGAGGGATAAAATGTGAGGAGTGGAACGGCCATCTTTGATGTCTTCTCTGCGGAACAGCTGCTATTGCATCAATATGGAGCAAGTGAGTTTGGCGACATCGGAACTAGGGCGCACCTTTGTGGGCCGGAAGCTTGAGATGACGTCGCTGACGCGAGATGTACTGCTGGGCGTGTTTCGCGTGATGTTTAATGAGTTGCCATTTGTCGAGGCGGCGTCGCGGTCCAAGTCCATCGGCGTGGAAGCCATCTTAGATAGCTACGTGGGAGGGCACCTTCGTGGAGGACCAGAAAGTTGTCCGCGTTGCTCGGAGAGATTCGTGTGGTGTTTTTCAGGGAAAAGGATGATCCGAAAAGGCGGCGTGCGTTTGGGTCAGAGTCGATTGAAGCAAGTCGCAGGTGTACTGGGCAGGGTCGCGTCTATCAACGTGAACAATTGGTGCTGGCTTTGAGGAGCAGGACGATGGAGGGGCAGCGTGCTGTCAGAACAGTGCAGCGTAGGATCGGTCCATCCATTCAGGCCAAAACAGCTTTCTGCTGGAGCTTGGTCTTGGGCCTTGGCATGTTCCCGGCTTCTCAATTTGCTACCCGGCAAAAGCCGCCCGTGTGGGGATCGAGAGGCGAGTAACCCCAGCGTTAAAGGGATGGCAATGCAGGGACCGTCCATTGCTAATGGCGCCTGAGCCTTGGGGTGGGAAGCGTGCACGCGCCCTCCGGATATCGGACTCGCTGAATGAGGTTGAAAATTATGTCGCTGTCCGATGCCGCGTGGCAGCATTGGATAGAGCTATAGCAGCGCCTGTTACAAAGTCAAAAAGCCATTGAGTAAGCCAATTCCAATCAAGATCAGCACAATTGTCAGCCCGCCACGTTGTCGATTGTCTGTCCCGAAAACCGCTCTGTGGAAAGCTGCTGCATGTGCTGGTACATCTCACTCAGCAAGGTAGAGAGGTACTTACACACCTGAAGCTGCCCACTACCTGCCTGGGGTACTATCCGCTAACCGCGACAAGCCGAGCCCGGCATTGCATCGCGACCTCAATCCGACTTTCGACTCACCAACCTTCGGCGCTCGACCCTCGACCCTCGACCTACAAGCTCTCCTGCAGCATCGCCCAGTACTCTTTGACCTGTGCCCGAGTCGCTCCAGAAGAACCAGCATCTGATCAAGTCTGGCCTCGAAGCCTCCGGCGCCATGTCAACAACGCTGGGGTAATTTCTTCCCACCCTCCCTGTCCCTGGCTTTGCGCCGATGCTATTCCTGGCCAGACCCAGCTGACTCTTTGTACAGCGCCTTCCTCGCTGGTGGCATCGCCGCCTGCGGTGCCGTCACGGCCACACATCCTTTCGAGACAGTCAAGATCCGGTGCGTCCCTGCTATGCGGACACGCATGTCTAGCACATCGAAGTCCTAAGCTGACGGTGACACGCGCCGAACAGGATGCAGCTTCAGGGCGAGCTCCAGGACAAAGGCCATCAACCACACAAGTACAGAGGACCCCTCCAGGGAGTGTCGGTCATCGTGCGGAATGAAGGCGTCAAGGGTATCTACAGGGGAATAGGGAGCGCATACATCTATCAGATCCTGCTCAACGGCTGCCGGCTTGGTTTTTACGAGCCCATGCGTGGCACCCTGACCAAGCTCGTGTTTGATGACAGCAAGGTCCAGAGCCTGGGCGTCAATATGATCTGCGGTGCCGGCTCAGGCATAATCGGTGCTGCCATGGGCAGCCCGTTCTTTCTCGTCAAGACAAGACTGCAGAGCTTCTCGCCATTTCTGCCGTCGGCACTCAGCACAACTACAAGAACGCATGGAACGGCTTCACTTCCATCTACAAGGCCGAGGGCGGCCGTGGTCTCTACAGAGGCGTTGGCGCCGCCATGATTAGGACTGGCTTTGGCAGCTCTGTGCAGCTCCCCACCTACTTCTTCGCCAAGAGGAGACTGGTCCGTCACTTCGGCATGGAGGAGGGGCCCGCTCTCCACCTCGCCAGCAGCACCGTCAGCGGCTTTGTTGTCTGCTGCGTCATGCATCCTCCAGGTCAGCCCTCTTTCTTTCTTGTTCATTGGTAGCTCCCGAGTCGCAATGCTAATTTGCAGCCAGACACAATCATGTCTCGTCTTTACAACCAGAACGGCAACCTGTACAAGGGCGTCTTCGACTGCCTCCTCAAGACAATCCGGACTGAGGGCTTGTTCGCCATTTACAAGGGCTTTGTCCCACATCTTGCTCGCATCCTGCCCCATACTATCCTGACATTGAGCTTGGCGGAGCAGACGAACAAGCTGGTCCGCGTGTTGGAAAATCGCATTTTGAGCCCGGTGGCGTTGGAAAGCCCATGAGGCTTCTTGGCTGGGATGTGACTGCGCCATATACATAGAGGATACGGATAGACAAACAAGGCGGTGGAGGTGTTGTGGGGTGTGAAAACGTGCGGACGGCCGCCACGAGGAAATCATCACTGGGTAGCGTCTGTGTGTCGAAAGGGGTGCATCTCGAAGCCATGTACCTGTTAGCCATACTCGTCACTGCGAATATTACTTTTTTTTTGAACCTTTTTCATCCAGTACCCACTAGCCTTCAACCGCGAAGGGACCTTTCGCAGCCGTAGCACAACTGGTTGGTGATCCCCAGCGCCGCAGCGTCATCCACCGTCAGGCCTATCTCGCCTTTCCAGCGCGCCTCTCCCAACTCATCCCTCGTCATGCCACACATGCCACAGGCGTCCCTGTTGGCGGGCTTCTCGAGTTTGCCTGTCGTACGCACGACATTGGCGATGACATTAGGGTACTTGTCCTCTACCTCGGCAAAGTGCCGCGTCATGACGTCCTCGATGCTCAGCTCCTTGTGCGAGACAACGCTGCCGCTGGCGCCGCCGACGCCGGGGTCATCTGCCGTCAACTCGGCCATGGCCACATCGGCCATGCTGTTGTAGGCAACAATCTCCTTCCTCAGAATGTCCCGCAAGGGGTAGTATACCGGGAATACCCACTGCTGCCCCCCTACATCACGGCTGCCCGCCTCCGTCTCGATCTCAGTCTTGCCCGCCAGCGCCGCAAAACTGGTCAGAGGGAAGCTCCCGTCAGAGACGAGCCAGGGAATGGCGTACCCACGGCCCTTGGCCGTCTCAGACAGGGTCAGCTCGGCGAGGGCTGTGGTGTTGTAGCCCATCATCAGCGCAGTGCATCCCCTTTGTGCAGCAATGTGGAAAAGGAGATGACGAAGGAGAAGGCGAAGGATATCGACACGGGAGGTGACAGATGGGAGGCTTTCGAGTAGGTGGCGCAAAGCGGCGGTGGGCTCCAAATCAGCTTGCAACCCAGGCAGGGCTGTCCAGTCTATGGTTTGGGCATCGAGAACAGCGCTGATGGGAACGGAGTCGATGCTTATATCTGGGAACCGGTCACAGTATTTCTGCAGTAGTCTGGCTGAAGGTGGTTGTGAGGCGGGCGTGGATGGCGCGAGGTTGGTGTCGATATGGACGACGTGGAGTTCGTAGACATTGCGTGGATTCGCATCTTTGAGCCAGCGTAGATTGGCGTCCAGGACCTGAAGGAGACCCGCGGAGGAGGAGCCGAGTGAGAGGCCAAGTAGGTATCTTGGTGGCCGGCCTGTTGAGGCGCGGAGTTCCTTCAGAGGCTGGCTCAAGCGCTTGACGACCTTTTGCGAGACGTAGGCAGAGAAGCAGTTACTTCGGATGTTAGATTGGGGTTTTCATTCGGGCAAACGATCGTTGTGATCCGGGAAACATACTCGCAGAGAGAATCGAGTCTCACAAGCATGGTGGCAGGGTTCACCTTGCACCTCTTGCACGGCTTGTCCTGCTTGTCCCCCATTGTAGTGGCGCCTTGGCGTCGATATCAGTGTTCCGGAGATTTCAATAACAAGATCGGGTACCCAAATTTGCAGGAGAGAGGTGAGAGACAGGGGGTGGTTGAGATTCAGGTGGTATGTGATACGCTTTGTGTTGAAGATGATGATGAGTCAGGAGAATTTTCTGTGCATATTCTCCATGGCCGAGTGCTCTTTACCAGCTCAATCAATACATGGCAAACTACTTAGCCTATGTTGTATGATCAATGCAATGTTTAGGCTTTACGTTAAGACAAGCATCTTATCCTCCACTCATAAATTCACCCGGCCTGTACACCAAACGTTGGCTCTCGCGAATGTCTGGGTGGAATGACTGGCGAAGTCAATTTTTTTAATTATATGCTTCTTCATGCACCAGCCAATGTGGGACGGAGAGTATGTCAGCGCTTCCAAGGACAAAGTCACCAGACCCAGAGCCTGCAAGTCCAAGAAAAGCACCGCCCTATCATCGTGTAACTTTCCAGCAAAGAGCCTAGATAGGGACTGATCATAGACTGTGGCGTACATGCAACTGACCCATGGTCGCTGGAGGCACTGATCTCGATTATTTCGTTTTCAGGTTGATCGATTGCTTGTAGACGAGGATCGAGCCCCACAGCCTGTCTTTGCGCCCCGAGTTCACTGACTCACTGACCGCTCGATTGAAGGAGAATCGAACAAAACAAGCTTCTGGCTGCAAGTGAATCGGAACCACATATCTCAGATCTGATGCAGCAGACCTAGACTGGCGTGATAGGGGCGTAATAGGGCGACGAGCGAAGAGTTCAGGGACCAGCGCAGAAGTGAAGGCGTATCTACAGACTGTTTCAGACGCCAGAAAACACATGGGCGCGACAAGCACAGAGCAAGAGCCACTGCATAGAGTGCTGTAAACTTAGCTACCTTGCCTTCGGTACCTACCTACCTACCTACCATCTAGGTAACTTACATTACCTACTACCTAGGTACCTAGGCAGGCAGGCCAGAGGCACCCTGCCATGACGTCAAATACAGCATCCCAACATAGTAGGCACTACCTACCCCTCGTACCTTGCGGCACAGTGCAGCATGGTCTCCACTGATGGGCGATGCGGACTGAAGCGTCACCGTAATCCAGACCATTCCAGGCCATCCTCATCTCGTTCTCTCTCCTCCAACCGACTGCTACCCACATGGACCCATATGCTGTTGTCGAGACTGGATGAAACGAAGTCTACTAATTGATTGCTGACCCTTGATGGTTGCCATCTCCCTGGTCTGTACCCGCCGTCTCATATTCGCATGAAGCAGATCTGCGCCTCCGCCCCTGGCTCCGCCCGACGGCCTCACCATCAGATGGCGCTTCAGTCTTGAAACCTGCGACACCTTCGTGCCAATCCTTGGAAAGCTTAGCACTCTGCACATGCCGCACCCTGACCGAGACACCCCTTGATCACCACGAATCCTGCGAGGAACCACTACAACTCGACGAATCGTCCTTCGGGACACACTCGAGCTTTCCCTTCGTTTTGTACGTTCCTTGTCATTGCACTTCTTCCTCCTTCTTGTCCATCCACCTGCCTTCCCAACAATACCGTCATCGCCCACGCTCCTGAGCGCTACTCTCCAGTGAGGTAACGTCCGTCAGCAGCCGACGCCAATTCTTTTCCATGCATCGCTTTCACGGCTCAGCACCTAATAGTGATTTCCGCTTTATCCACACGAGACCAGGCTGGCACCCATTGGCTCGAATAATCCATCCGTCGACGACATCCTCATCATCCCCCTCGAGATCTACCTCGCCTTGACGCATGCATCACGATCACCTACCATGGCTGCCGTATCACAACAACTGCGCCCCGTTCTTCCCGAGCGAGGCACCACTATCGCCATACCAACCACAGCACCTCCAGCCTTGATTTCGAGCGACGCCAATCAGACTCGTCTACGGAGCCAATCCATGCTTGACACTTATGCTTCTCCTGTCAACCAGAACGGCAGCTTCGAGTTTGATCGTGAGGTTAAGAGCGGCCATGTACAAAAGCGCACCCAAAAGACCAAGGTCAGTCTACCTCTGGCCCATATCGAATTCCTGGACTTCCGCTAACATACAGGCAGACGTGGAAATCCATCTACCTCGTTTTGCGACCCAACGCCCTTTCGCTGTACAAAACCGACAAAGAGGACAAGCTGAGACACAAGATCAACCTGTCCGACCTTACTGCTGTAGCCCTGCTCCGTGATCCAAAGCAAAAGCGAAAGCATGTCTTCGGCTGCTTTTCACCCGCCAAAAACTATCACTTCCAAGCGAAAGACGACAACGACGCTCAGCAATGGGTTGACCTAATACGGACATATGCAAGGATTGACGAAGAAGAGGAGGAATTGCTACTGGCAAGTCCCGTCGCTCAACGAGGATCGTACCTACCACCTATTTCGAATGGCAGCTACACCGATCCGGCCTTGCGTGAAAGGGTGACATTCAGCTCTCCCGAGCCCTTGGACCCTCCCGCGCCTCGCTTTATGTCTACCGATAAACGTCGTCCGTCCAACATGTTGGATTCTTCGGGCTACTCTGGCAATGAATTGGCCTCTCATTCCGACTTTTCCGACACTGAAATGCAACGCCTTCGGGGCATGTCCATTGAGGATCTCGCTGGGCAGTCCCCACAAGACAGCGGCGTCTTGTCAGACTCAGGCCTACCCGACAGGCCACAGATGAAACACCGGAACTCAAGCCAGGTCAGCGGCCTCAACCTCGAGCACGACCCAGACCGTGTTATTTGGCAAGGCTGGCTGTGGTTCCTTCGCAACAAGGGAGGGGTGCGGCAATGGAAGAGGCAGTGGGCTGTGCTGCGGCCTCGAAACTTCATTCTCTACAAAGACGAGTCCGAGTACACTGCGCAGTTCCTTCGACCCATGTCAGCTGTTGTCGACGTTGTGGACATCGACCCGGTCAGCAAGACTAAAAGCCACTGTCTGCAGCTCATTACCGACGAGAAGAGCTACCGCTTTTGTGCCCCTGATGAAGAGTCGCTGGTGCTCTGTCTGGGCGCCTTCAAAAGTCTCCTTGCCAAACGGCGAGAGTTAGAGGCACGAGCAGCCGCAAATGCAAGCCATGCGACTGCGATACCGGCACCGGTGAGCACTGTGTAAATTGCACACCGCGTCTTCTGCAATTCACTTTTTGATTCTACCTTCTGCTACCCAGAGGTGGGTGTCTTACCACTGGTAGGCGCCATTGTAGGCCATGAGGCCATGTATACTGCTGTATAATCTCTTTTACGACACGACGTATGAGTCCCCACGATGTAAGACTGAAAGCACGTCGATTGCGTGACCCAGCTTGCTACCCTGTTTATTTTGTCAGTTCGCGCCAACTGATAGTGTTCCCTAAGCCTCGGCCGGCCTTGGAAGGCCATCTTTGTACATAGAAAACCATAGGGGTCTTCCGCACTTGTCATTGACATTTGGCCCTCTCACCGCCGTGGAATCCAACGCGATTAAGATCGACTCTTCTTGAACAGGGTTCTCCCCGAATCCGCAAGGGCAGCTGGCATGTGGTCCATGACCACCTGCTCAATAGATACAACGATACAATGACAATGCCCTTTAAATGCGAGGTACTTCTCGAGGCTCATCCTTCTTGGGTGTAGACGGTGTAGGCAAGCAGGCAGGCAGTAAGTTGAATCACGTGTATGTGACATTTTCACAGCATACGTTCGTTGCATGTCTCTATCATTTTATTTCCAAATGAAGTGTGTCAGACTTCTTTGCTGTCACTGACATCAAGTCAGCGCGAATTGTGGTCATGGAATATCCCGTACAAACCTAGTACACGTTGCTGTGTCACACACTTGTGAGGAAAATCACTACAACACATAAGACATGTTGAAGCATGATGCTCGGTCATTAACGCATGTCGATGCTGGGAAGGCGTCAACCAGTGCATCCCTGTTCTAGACCACCAAGACCTAGTCCTGAACCTGCCGTGTTCCCCTTATCCCTCGTGCCTAATTCGATAAACCAAAGAAAGCATCGTCGAACTGCACATCGTCCATGTTGTCGCCGCCATAAAACATATCGTCGAAGCTGCTGCCGTCCCCATTATTGCCAAGGTTCATATCAAGGTCCATGTTGCCACCAATGCCATCCAGATCGAATATGTCGTTGTCCACGGCAGCGGTCGACTGCGGGTCGCCCGCCTTCCGGTCGCCTTCAATTTTTGGCGGTTCTGTAGTTGTCACGGCCGTGCTGGCGGTAGTGGCCGCTGACTGCACAGGAGCTGCAACTGGTAGCAGGCCATCCAGGGTGGACATTTCGGCCGTTGCGGGCAGACCAGACGTCGTACCCATCCCGGGCTGCGGCGCCACGTCCGCCGTTGGTTGGCTCTGCGAGTCCACAGCCGGATCGAGACCGAAGGTGATGTCTGTAAAGTCGAACTCGGACCCGTTGCCCCTGCCGCCTTCGTTCTCTCCGCCGCTAAGGTCAAAGAGGTCATCCATCGGCGCCTCGGGTGCCGTCGACATGGAAGGCTCCGGAGCGACAGATGACATTGCTGGAGTCTCTTCTGATTTGACAGGGATGCTATCCATCGGGGCCATCCATTGCCTGTGGCACCGACGGCGTTGGTTCACGCTTGATGTCCGCTTTCGGCTGTACGGGAGTCGGCATGCTGTCATTGCCGGCCCATGTCAGGTATGGGCGCCATCGGCCCCATCGGCGGCGGGGCGGGACTTTCTTGCGCAGCAGAAAACGGAGCAGATTGGGTAGGTTCTTCCTTGAGCGGGGGGGAGGGCGGTGATTTTTGGGCAAGTTCAGGGCTGGCAGCAACCAGGGCGACCGAGGCTGGTGATGCGATCATGGGCGCAGGCGAAGCCTTGATTGCCTCTTCTGGCTGTGGCGCGTGGCGTTGTTGAAGACGGTCCAAATCTCTTTGCAAAGCCCCTTTCGCTCTCATCTGCAGATACTCGTCAGCAGGGCTGTAGGGATGGATCGTGGCAAGGGAAAGGATGATCCTACGACTTCACTTTCTAGATCATTGAGCGCCCAGTGGAAATTCTCAATGGTTTCTGGCATACGAGTCTGAAGCGATGCATGAATCTGAGAGACGTTTTGTCGATTCGGTTGCTTGGTCGATGCCTTGAGGGCCTTGCCAATCTGTATGATCTGGGTGCCCAGGGTCAACGGGCTGAGTCGGGGGTTTGGAGGGAGAACGACTCACGACATCGTTCAGCATGTATTGCAGCTGGTCAAGAGCGTCTTTCGGTTTATGTGACATGGTGATTTGATATATGACGACAGGAACAGCGCCTGTCCTGCTTCTTGTGATCGCGAAGTAAGTAAGATGGCAAATGCAAAAGCCAGCGTGAGGATGAATATGAGGGTTCGTCACTGGCTTCCAACTGACACCCTACCGGCCTGGGTTGACTGATTGAGCTCTCCTTTCACAACTGGGCAGTCCCACCTGGGGTCCTGCGCACGGACCAGCGACCATCCTCTGGGCATACAAGCGTTTCAGCAATCACCGGAGACCATCACGTGATGGGACGTCGACCCTCCATTACCGGACCCATATCACGGTCTCCGGTTCGTGATGCACGTCCTGACGTCTTACCTGGACCAAGTTCGACGCGCAGTGCGCACAGTCAATCATATGAGTACCGCTGTGTCTTTGCAGAACAAACGAGCCGCCATGCGTTTCGCATTGTTAGGCGAGGCACACTCGGCTTATGGGTCTGCGACACTACACAAGTAGACAGGCAGCTTGCATCCAGCCCATGAAAGCATATGGAGACGCCTACAAATGACTGCCGCGCACACAAGAACCACGGGCTTGTCTACTTGCCGCAAGTGTGCCCATATCGATTACGCTTGCAGGGTATTGATCTACACACGGGATGTGCAAGCACCAGCCGAGCGCAGAACAGAAAGACCCCAGACAACCTTGCGCAAACACTAGCAGGCGAGGATGCTGATTATCAGGAAGTTGATGTCGCCGCAAATTTTGTCTTGTGCACATGCGGAGAAGATGAGAATCCTAGTCTCTGCGGCTCAAGTCCATGTCATTGCTTTCGGCGCTATCAATGTTCGATCCTGGTCTCGTATCCGACTGAGCCATTGGTTTGGGGACCCTGAGCGGCTCTCAGGTGCCACGTGGTCAGCACCGCAAGCATCCAAATCTATGGAGCCAGACAAGTTCAAGGCTGTCTTTCTTACTGTACTGGACGTCGCATTACACGACATCACGGCGAAACTACCAAGTTCGGGTCCTGAGGAGCGCTGTCATCTCACCTCGTGGTCCAGCTTGTACAAAACAGCGCCTCGCAACAAAACGGTCATGAACTAACTCATTGGTCACATCCAGGTGAACGTGTTTCTTGGTCCACATGTTACAATACGTGTTGAATAATTGGGTGTAGGATTATTATTGTGTTAGATGTCAATGAACCTGGTACACCGTCCAATTTGACAGGCAAGCACCAAGAGCATTTGACTGTAAGCTGCCTCGGACTAATGCCTTGTTCAGCGGCCAGTGCGACTAGAAACTTTCGACCTCCTTTCGTCGTCTTGATTCCCTTACAGCGTTACCGCCACAGTTCATCAAGGTGAACGTTTGAAAGCACCACCTCAACGACACTCGATGCCGATAGCTCCTAAACGAACGAGCCAGAAAGCATGTCAAGCTACTCGACTCACAGGCTGGCTTGACGTGCATGTTGATCAATGGGACAGCAACTGCGCCGTGCGATCATGCTGCCATTACCACCCATTTCAGCCAATGTTTGCCGGTGTTGCCGATGTGATTGCAAGGGAAAAGCGCCTCACATGTAATGCTTTCATGGCTGGATCAAACGCATACAGGAAGCATGCCGCGTTTGCTCTATTATCTTTTCTCCGACAAGTCAATTATGGGATTGGACTGATCCAAGACTTTCTGAGACAGGGTTGTCGGTGAGACAGCTTTACCCGCCCTCGATCTTTGTCTAGGTACCTGGGTACCTGGGCCTCGGGCACATGGGCATCTTCCTGTGCCCCGAACACTCAACATTGCTTCCCACGCTAGGTGCCTTACCTAGCCTGTGGCTTTTCAAGATGGGAATCCACATTCCTTCAACTCCGAAGAGCTGGAGTAGACAACAGCGCCATTGTGTCCTTGAATGATCTGCGTCCACGTTGCCTTTGAACCAGGCGTCTCGCGGGCAGGTGTTATGTCGAAGCTTTGCGATGCTGACTGGCTCGCTGAGGCCAGGTCCCATGCCTGTGGCACCTTGGCGCGCTGGAGGTTAGCCTCTGCTGCCTCTCTCAACGCCAACACACATCAGGCTAGCTCCCTCGCTTAGGCAGGCTCGCCACGGACACAATAGTGCTGTGGCTCCAGTCTACTTGCCTTCCTCGCCCGTATCACCCGAGGGGCGGAGTACCCTGAGCTCCCCTCACTAGCAGCGCTCATCTCACCCTGCTGCTCTGCCACTCTCTCTGCCTCTTGCTGTCCAAGTCTGGTCTCCACTCACCGTCCCATCATCCCCTCATTCAGATCCATTAAAGTTCCTCCTCCTCACGTCCCATTTGTCTTCTCTCCGACGTTCATCCAAAGAGCAATATCGGAGGGCAAAGCGCGTTACTACTCGTAGGAGGGCTTCTTCAGTCTTTTTCCTTTTTTTTCCTCTCCCTCCGTCTCCGTCTCCGTCTCCGCCGTTCTCGTCCTCTCGTCAACGTCTGGTTTCTCATTCCTCGTCCCTTTACGGTCCCACCGCATCTTCCTCAGCGTGCGCAATCTCACGTCCTACGTCTCGGCCTGTCTTGCTCCAACGTTGCCGCCTTTCGTCCCGTTTCGTAGCGCTCGACCCTTCCGGTACTTTTCCCCGCCTTCGTCCGCCGACCGTCTCGACAGCAAGTCGCCCAAGCTCCTAGCCTTTGCGAATCAAGCTTGCGAGACATTGACTTCGTTCGACCGCCGCAGCATTAACTCATTTTTGACCGTCGACCAACCGCCGCAGTCGGGACAACACAGTCCTTGGGCGAATCACCAATCACCTCGGCGCAACTCTCTCTAATTCAGATACTGCAGACTTGTGGCCATCGCGACCAATCTTCCAAATGGCCGACAACGGGACCAAAGCAGCTCAGCTGCCTCCCCCCTCCTCAGTCCAACCAGGGCGCACCTGGCTATGAAAATGGCCAGAAAGCCTCCCCCTCCCCTGCACATCCCGCAGAACAACAACCCCATTCCGACAGCCATCACCTCGCCTCTGTCTGGCGTTGACCAGGCTCTTTCGCCGGGCAGCGCTGGAGGCTTTGGCCGCCGTGCTGCTCCGGAGCCCAACAAGCGTGCCCTCTACATCGGGGGCCTCGACCAGCGCGTAACGGAAGATGTCCTGCGGCAGATATTCGAGACGACTGGCCACGTCCAGAACGTCAAGATCATCCCCGACAAGAACGTAAGCTTCACTTCTCGTGTCTTTTACACGACGCGCAGCTGACATGATTTTGCAGCAAAAGGGTTACAACTACGGATTCGTTGAGTACGACGATCCTGGTGCGGCCGCCCGCGCTATGCAAACCTTGAATGGACGTCGTGTTCACGTG